GAAGAATTAACAAACTTTATGTGTATGAAGGGGATGAAGAATGGAAGAGTATGCATTGTAGTCTAAATATGAGAAATAAAATAACCTAATTTTGAGGTACAAATCGTGGAATAAAAAAGTGCAATAAGAGATATATAGTAAAGAAACAGATCCTTTTGGTCTTTGTACATAAAAGAAACTGGTTAATTGTTTCTATTTGGATGATGGGAAAAACTTCAGTCTGATGAATTTCAGTGGAATATATGTCACGAGAATAAATTTCCTTGTTTCTGATTTGGTAGAACCTGTGACCAATATTTCTTTTTTATTTGATGATAACAAATTGACTAAATTGTACAAAACATATCTCCATAGAATATAGCTTTTGGTATATTGAGGATATACAGTTATAACTTGCTGTCACCATGTCATGTTTTCCGTCTTATTTCACAATATTATATATTGGGAACTTTAAATCATTATTTCTCTTCTGTTCTTTTTCACATTTTGTTATGTCTCTTCCACTCGTCTGTTTAATTACTTTTATGCAAGTTTTCCACTCAAGTCAATCCTTGTTTATGTTTGATGTATTTTTCTTTAAGTGTACATGTTCATTATAAGGTTAGTTTCTCCTTTCACGTGGTAATTTGCTTCCTTGTTTTTTTGTGTTCTCCTAACCTACAACTGGAACATTCTTATTGGTAAAAATATTAACCTATTTGTCTTCTCAAAATTATGATGTTCACATTTATAAGTACTGTAGTTATAACACAAACATTAATTGATTCCATTGATTTTCTTTTAGTGCTTTATTTTCTTCTTATCATGATCTTTTTTGGCGTTGATTTTGTTAACTGATTTGATTTATGTTGTTACCTCTAAATACTGGGCAGTCTTTTTGCTGTTCCAAGAGCCATGGGAATTTATTTTACTTAGACCAACTTTGTGCAGTTTTTTCATTCAGGTTTTCGAAAGGACAAGTTCTGCACCTTGATGAAAACAGGCAATGGTCAAGAGCTCTGGATGGGTCGAACTATCTGCCTGGAATGGTATGTTCTACTTCCATACACTTACAGCATCTACAATACCATGCTGTGTTGATAAAATGTTTATCCAAAGTTTGTTCCTGTACTAGCTACCTTCCAGTTGAATTGGATAAACAAAATCTATGGGAGAGTCTGTTGGTAGGTATATTTCTTGTCTGTAATTCTGTACAAGGGCTGCAAATTTTTGAGGATCCCAGGCGTACTGATCGATCATCACTGTGTATAAACAATAGACATTGTTGAACCCATGTTTACATTGAAAACTAGAGTAGCTCTGTGGAAATGTCTGACTACTGACCTATTTTTTTGCTGCACATGGTGCAAATGTAACCAAAGCTTTACATACTGTAATTAAGGCTTATTTCCATTAAGATGAGTGTCATTATATCAGTTTGTGTGCTGTTACAATTATATCAAGCTATTGAAGCATTTTCAGAATTAGTATAATTAGCTATAAGCATAAAAATTAGGCACTCATCAATTTGTGTCATGTTCTTAGGTGGGTCTCAACAATATTAAGGAGACCGATTTTGTGAATGTCACAATTCAGTCCTTAATGAGAGTGACTCCTCTGAGGAACTTTTTTTTAATCCCTGAGAACTATCAACATAGTAAATCTCCACTTGTTCATCGATTTGGAGAACTTACACGAAAAATTTGGCATGCAAGGAACTTCAAGGGACAGGTTAGCTCCTTAAGAAGACATCTTTTTCTTTATGTTGCTATTTGATTGGAGGTAGTGCTTCTCATTGGTTTTTATTTTTCAGGTTAGCCCCCATGAGTTTTTACAAGCAGTTATGAAAGTCAGTAATAAGCGTTTCCAAATAGGTGTTCAATCAGATCCTGTTGAATTTATGTCCTGGTTGTTGAACACGTTGCATGCACAACTAAGAATTTCAAAGAAAAAGGATCGAAGCATTATTTATGACTGCTTTCAGGTTCCTTCCCGGTTGCACCCCCAAATCGTTTATCTTTCTTTACCCTTTTTCATCATGTTGATTACTTTACATTGCAGGGTGAATTGGAGGTTGTAAAAGAGATACAGACGAAACTTCTTATCGAGAAGAAAGATAATGATGAGGAGCAGTACAATGTAACTGTTGCAGAGGGTGGATCATCAATTGATAATGTTGTGAGGGAAGCATCTAGAGTACCATTCCTAATGCTTGGTCTTGATTTGCCACCACCACCTCTTTTTAAGGATGCAATGGAGAAAAACATTATACCTCAGGTGCGTATTATAGATGTCTCAGCTTAATTTTAATTGAATCTTATATGAAAATGTTCATGTTTTAATTGCAACTATCTAGTGAAACACAAAATTTTCTAAACCTTACAGAGTTTCGTTCATTCTTGTGAGTGTCAAAGTGCATACATTGTAAACTCTTGTGTATCTTATCTTAGGTGAGAATAATATCATTTAATCATCAGGTGAGCAGCACCTTAGTTCTCTCTTTCTTCTTCCAACTGTACATCTTGATGGTTGGTGGCCTTAGGCTTTGGCCACATGTTGGGTGCTGCCAGAGATTGAGTTTAGTAAATAGTTCATTTCGAAGTAGTCTCCAGCATTTTCTGAAATGATATTGTAGGTGGAACTAAAATTGGTAGGAACTCTACCAAAGGATATGAAGTATGTGCACTTCAATACTTGTCATAGACTTCTTAAAATGTGTTGAGTAGTTCAGAACGTATTGATACTCTTTTATTATCTACCAATAAGTGTTATTATGTGTATCTATGTTACATGTTGGCAATATATATGTGATTTAGTCTTTTGACTTGCTCCTTTATGTTAGATGTTGACATTTGAACAAAGGTTTAAAACACAGTTCGGTATTGATTTTGGTGATCTATTGGACCAGTATGGTACCAGTGTATCGGGTGGTATAACTACCCGTACTGCCCGGTGTCATGTGGTCCCATATTGGCTTTTGTTCAGACCGTTAAGTATCGATTGGTGTGCACCGTGCAGATCTGTGTGTATAACCTTGATTTGAACTACATTTGTGAAAGTTTACTATTTATTTGAATGTTTGTTATACTTTGTATATGTACATGATTATTATGGATAGTCTATATTGTACAAAATATATATTTTCAGTAAAACCCGTAATATAGAAAAGAATGTATAAATTGCCATTGTTCATGCTGTGTTATATCCTACTTGCAAGAATTGCATTGTCTATATTCTACAGAGCATATATTTACAATAACATGTAGTAATGAAGAAAACCATAACATGTATAAATTGCCTTTGTTCATGCCATGTCTTATCCTACTTTTAAAAGATATTTCATGTCAGCGTATCTATAGTATGTATGTCGCACGATTCTGTCCCATGCTTTATAAACTTAAATTGATAGATAATGCATAAGTGTGCATTTTCTTGGAGTCATACTCTAAAACTTTTGCTTATGTATGATTGGCGAGTCCCCTTATCTTCGACTTACTAGAATAGTTTATGCCGGTTCTAATTCATTTTAAAGAACGTTGTAGTGTATAAATTATAAAAGAAAGTTAAAGAGAGATGCAAAGAAAGATGTAGAGCTCAAATCTTCTGAATTATATGGAGGCATTAGCTGTGTATAGCTGGATTATATGGAGCCAAAAAATGATTAAGGATTGCAAAAGAGTGTTAAGCTGAATTTCAGTTGTGCTTCTGGATTTTCTGTTCATTGGCAAAAGAACAATGGGCTCTAAAGGATGCTTTTGCATAGTTGACTTGATTTTGATTTCATGTTTTAAATTACATTTTGTGGCATTTCAATTGAGTAGCATATTGAGATTATTGTTTCCTTTTAATATTAAATTAAGAATATCATACAAGAAATTCTTGCTCTTTCTGACGAAAAACCTTGAACCTGGTCACCTGGGACCATGGCATGGCCTGGAGATATTTTAGAGTGGCGATTACCCTTAATTTCTGGTGTATGTTTTAAAGCTTAGGTTTACCCTTTCACGATCTGCAAGTTTACACTGCATATTTTTTGTTATAGGGTTAAGATTTGCCTTAATCATATGGGGATTTTATAGTGCTTTCTCATACTTGTTCTATATTTGATAACAGGACATGTGGAAAACAGCCAATGAATCTTTCTGGCATTAAAGTTTCTACAATTTTATGATGCCTATAATTAACCATGAACTTGGTGCTGAAGTTCCTACACTGATGGAAACACTAATCTGATATTTTTTTTTGTAGGTTCCCCTCTTCAACATATTGAAGAAGTTTGATGGTGAGACTATCACAGAGGTTGTGAGGCCTTGTATAGCAAGGATGAGATATCGTGTCATCAGACTGCCCAAGTATCTAATTCTTCATATGCGTCGATTTACAAAAAATAATTTCTTCATAGAAAAGAACCCGACACTAGGTATATTATAAATTCTTTTTCAACATATGAGGTGTTTTTAGTTCTTACCACCAATGTTGTTATTGACCATGCAGAATTTTCTTCTTTCAGTCAACTTTCCTGTGAAGAATCTTGAATTGAAGGATTACATTCCATTGCCCCCACCAAAGGAGAACAAGAAGTTGCGGTCAAAATATGATATCATAGGGAACATAGTTCATGATGGCAAGCCCGGAGAGGGAAGTTATAGAGTTTTCGTGCAGCGAAAATCAGAAGAGCTCTGGTATTGTGCGATCAAAGTAAATTTCATCGGTGCTATTGTTTGGTATTTCTGAAGGCCTTGCTGAGCATCATTTTTCCCTTCAGGTATGAAATGCAGGACCTCCACGTCACTGAAACTCTTCCTCAAATGGTTGCTCTCTCTGAAGCCTACATGCAAATATATGAGCAGCAAGAGTGACTGTGGGATGGCTTCTTTCTTGCTCACAAGGTTACTAATGTATATGACAAGCGCCAAAAACTGCACGACCATTGCAGAGGGTAACCGGGCTGCCCATTTTTTAGCAGCACAATTCTGGCTGAAACTTATTTGGAGTCTTCTTTGGTTGGGACTTCATGTTAACAGGCTTATGTTGATCATGTATGGCTCCTGAGACTCGAGTATGACTGTTGCCCGGTCTTGGCACTTTTTCCAGGTGTGTTCACCGTGTCGTGTCATACCCGTTCGGCCATGTTCCATCCACCTGGGCTCTGACGTCCTTGCCTCTGGTTTTTCTACGTGAGAGTTTATAGTGGGTGATGAGGGTAATAATAATGATGGGACGTAAATTGACGTCGTTTGCTCTTAGGTGACGTCTCTTGTATCATGTGAATCGAGGAGACACATGGGTCATTTGTCTCGGTCTGACCTGACAGCGTTGGGCCGAGGTAGATCAGAACGTCGACTAAGGCACGTTGTCATCCTACAAGAGTTCGGTCCTTTACGCAATCCCAACGTTCGACTGATTTTTGGTGGAGGGGTCAGGTCGAGCTCTTTCGACCCGACCTGTATAAGACGAAGCGCCACTCCACCGTGCGCCTGTCCCATCGAGATCGGTTACCTTAGCACTCTCAGGGGTAATCCCGAGAGCTCTTAGGTCGTGCCTTAAAGTTGATGGAGTCCACCGTGACAGCAATGGGTAGGGAAATTATTGCATATTTTATCTTATAGGTGTCAGAACACGATGGTTGTTAGACCGCGGCATATATGAAAATTTCCGTCCGTGGGATCAACAAAATTTACGGAGCTTAAAGCTAAATCCAGCCGTCCTCTTTAAGGTAAGAAATGGACAATAGAAACGGGAGTGAGAGAGAGAGAGAGAGAGAGTCCGGTGACCGCCTCCACCTCCGTCCCCACCAAAACCTCAAGAATCCGTCGTCCAATTGCTCGTACGGCAACCAACCACCCTCTCCTAAGTTTCCCCCCTCTTTAGTCTTTTTCTATGTAACAGTCGAATACCTCACCAAAGAGGAAGAAGGTGGAGAAACGAAACTGGTTGGTTGGGCATTGCGATCATGGCCGCCATTGAGAGGACGAGCGGCGTCGATCTGGTGGCGACCGGGAGCCCCTCCACTGGCGGCGGCCGTGGCCGAGCACAGGAGCCCTGTAGCCCCAAGGATCTGGCCTCCGCCTACGACGCCGCCGGGCTCCCCGTACTCTGCTAGTACCCCGACGGCTCGGTCGATTTCCACTTGGAGCCTCTGCTGGATCGGGGGCTAGCCAGGGACAGGGCTACGGCCGTGTCGGCATTGGCGGCGCAGAGGCCCAATGGCGTCGTCGTCTCTGGTAGCGAAAGGTTTAAGCGGGAGATGATGGATTTAGAGGAGTTGCTCTCGAGGCTGAACCCGATGGCGGAGGAGTTCGTACTCCCGTCTCTCTCGGGACAAGGGAATTGGTGCGGCGCGGCCGGCGGCGGTGACGGAGGGTTTTATGCCAATGGTTTTGGGTGAGCAACCAAGTCTGGAATGGTGGGATGCGTGTCAGGTGTTTGGATGGGATCTTTTTGTTACGTTTCCGTGTCTTTTCTCTGTGCTAATTCGTAACATATTTCCGATCTTTATGTTTTGGTGCTTTTCTTCAGAAGAAGAATGGATATGGTGATGGAAAGCAGCGTCGGATAAATAGCTGGACTAGCTTGGCACAGCGAGACGAAGTGATTAGAAGAGCTGTGTACGTCTCAGACATCGATCATCAATCAGGTAGTTAGGCTAATCCAGAATTTATCAGTGCTATATGTCCTTTAATTTGATGATTTGAACATATCTCGGGAGCATATTTAGCTTTGGATTGAGCTTTGGTCAATGATCATATCATGTCTTTTTTCCTTTTGTTAATTCCTTTTTTTCCCTTATGTGTTGATGGCCTTTGGACATCCTCGCTCGGGACACAGCATGTAGACTCAGGATAAATGCTAATTGACCATCTCTTGTGGTATTCTTTAAATGATTGATTCCTTACACATCTCAATCTACATCACTCTTATGCTATTTTTGGGTTAAACTAGACTTTTATCTTGATCTTATTGGCAGACAAGGTTTTGAAACTTTATGATGTAGGATGGGTTTTAATTATTTATTTGTGAATAGAAGAAAAGAGGGGAAAGTAAGATTATAACGTAAAGGTAATGAGAAGAAATGGATAATAGGATGGGTTTTAATTATTTATTCGGGAATAGAGGTAAAGAGGGGAAAGGAAGATAATAATGAAAAGATAATAAGAAGAAATGGATAATTCCTCGACTCAAGGACATAGTTTTGCACATCCGCATGTCTCACCCTAGTTTACGAGACAATCCTGAATTATGTTCGCAAAATTTCTAGCCTAGTCTGTGAGACAGTACCAGATCAAATTTTGCCAAGTTTTGACAATTACATTTTTCAAACATTTCTATTCCATATTGAACTTGTTTTGGGAAGGACCTATTCTCATTTAAGTTGCCAAATTCTCAGTGTTGAACTTAGACCTGCATCTAATATATATGGTTTGTATCTCACTCTGTATGTCCTTGATCATCTGAGAGAACTAGTAAAATTTTGGCATCACCAGTTCATTGATCTGAGGCAATAACTGGTTTTGGAAAGGTGACGGATGTTCCATGTTTTCTTTTGCCATTTGCCAGCCTTGTGTAATCATGCTTTCATAAAATTTATGTTTGCAGTGTACTGAGAAACTCTGAAACATGTCTCATATTCGATATTATTTTTAATGCTATGGGAAGAGAACTTTAAATGATTTGTTGCAATACAACACATTTAACGTTTCTAAACTTTCAGAACGGAGTCTGTGATGTATGTTTCTGCTTTATATTTATGTCACTGAAGAACAGTTTGGAGCACATTTCATCAACTGCGGGCAGGTGAGATACTTGTCTGCTCTTCATGTCTCATCAAAGAGCATAACACTTCTAAATAAAGTATTGATGCAGGTCGTTGATGTGTTCAAGGACTGTCTACTGTACAAATATTGACAAGAAGGTTGATGATAGTATCCATTGTTCAATTTAATCATTTTTACATCAGAACAAATTGCTTATTTCTTCATACTTGGGTCATCACATCTTTTGTTTGATATAGGTTTCTCAAGCAGATCTTAAACTCTTCTTCGAATCTATTTGTGGAGAGGTTGGTTCCACTTGCATTGTTATGTGATTCCATAACTTTTGCATGAACTAAGTTATATATATTTCATATGTTGATTTAAAAATATAAAATAAAAGATAATGGGGTCTTTCTTGTGGATTGATATATGATATCATATGCTGATTTAAGAATGTAAACTAAAATAAATTAATGGTGTGCGGTGAATGTTGCAGGTTTACCGCTTAAGAGTGCTTGGCGATTGTCAACATTCCACGAGGATTGCTTTTGTGGAGTTTGTGATGGTTAGCATCTATGGCTTGATAAACTCATGCTGAATTATATAATGTTTTCTTAAAATTTACTTTCACTTAGATACTTGTTTCGAGTTATCTGACCATGAGTTTGATATCAAATGGAATGTAAGGCTCTGATTTGTGTTATTCATTTTCCTTAAGTTTTGTTTTTGTATATGATAAATCATTATTTTGTCAATTTAACTTCCGAGTCTGATACCAAAATTCATTTGAGCTTGTAATTTCAGGCTGAGAGTGCAACCGCTGCTCTGAACTGTAGCGGTGTGGTCTTAGGATCCATGCCGTTAAGGTATACTTCATTAGATGTATTTGTTCATTCATTTTCTAGACAGTCTATGTCGTTTAATTTTTTTGAAGACAGCCTTTTATCTAGCCCGTTCTAATCTTAGGATAAAGCCCTTAAAAGACTCCGCGTGCGCCCGGGTTCACCTCAGTGTCCCATGTGGTTTAATCTTCGAGAGCTCCAGGAGGGTGGCTGACAGCAGTGTATATCCACGCATACAGATATTTAAGGTTCCTCTTTTGGCTTTTAACTTAATTCTCTCTAGCATTTATCCCTTGCATTTCGAGAAAAAAATTAGGCTAATCCATCTTTGTCTTTTGAATATATAGGTTTCTGGAACATTGGGGCTTTGATATTTATCCACGATCAGGCACCAAGACCTTCAGAGTGTTTCTACGAAACAAAATATTCGGCCTGCCGAGGTCTTTCTTAGTTTCAGATTGTATCTTATCAGAAGGGTGAGAGGTGTTTTTGTTATTTAGTAGATTTCCATTACACTAAACTATTAGCTACTGCATCCAGGACTCTCACGAGCAGTTATTTGAACTACGCCACTTTTCTGGAATCCCATGTGTGATTGAACTTGGTATGTGTTTCGATCATTGGCTTCACAGGTTTGATAGATCGTTCATGTATCAATACTTTGTGATGAATTAATTGCATGATGACATAATTAGGGAATCAAGAGAATAATGTTAGGATCTATTTCTTTTCATCTATCTATGAAATATTATTCTAGCTTTTGATAAATCCTAGGAGATTGATCACCTCGAAGTGATCAAGGTGATCGATCCCCTCAAAATGATTATTCTGTTTTTTTACTCTTCTTGTATGATAAAACCCTAGGGTCTTATCATATGGTATTACAGTAGCGATCCTTGGTGTTCTCGTTGCAATTTCTCACAACACTTTTGTCGCAGCTATCATCATCATCATAAAAAAAACAAAAGAGAGAGAAGAAGTCTAATAGCCGCCCCATCCCGCTCGAGCGAGAAAGGGCTATCATCGTCGCTCCTAATCCTCGATGTCTCGTTGTAGTTCCCCATCCCCTTCCGGCAACATGCCTCTTAGCCCTCAACATTCGCCTCATCCCACTTGAGCGAGAAAGGGCTATCGTTGTTGCTCCTAATCCTCGACATCTCACCCACGCAACGACAGAAATAGGGCAAACCCCCTATTGCCTCCTCACACCTTTTGTTGCAATCGTCAATCGCCATTGTTTTATCCTCTGTTGCTAACCAGTCGTGCGATCGTCGTGACTTCCCAATCGATCCCTTCCTCACTTAGCGTCGATTGCTAACCAACCGCATAATTGCAACAACGACCTAATCAACCCCTTCTTCTTCCCTCCCTTTGTTGTCGTTGTTGCGCTTTCTCTACAACTCATCTTCGTCTCCTCTGCTCTTGCTACAAACATCATTGCACATAGGCTATGATTTTTGCACTGATCCTCAGCGCTCCCACAACCTTCTTCTTTCCCGCCAGCCAACGCTCGTCCCAATCGCATGGTCGCCAACGTCTCGTCCCACCGCAACCGCGCGATCACCTCCCAACGACCACAGCAAGCCCTCGACGACGTTGCTCCTAGTTGCACCACCATCGCTGCCTCCTAGCCTCTCGATGCACAAGGCTTCATCGACATCCTTGCAACAACCCTTCACTCCCACATCACTGCCACCGATTGGCATCATAGTAGTAGCACCAAATAGGACAGTGCTGATGCCCTTGACCCGACACTAGAAACAAGAGTTGGGGATTACAGATCTGCAATCCTACACAATGGATATTGACAACTCAGTAAAAGCCCAACTAGAAGCCTTGGAAACTAGGATTGAAAACTAGTTGCAGGAAACCCTTAATGAATTCAAAAGGAGCCTATTGGAGAGCTTCAACAAATTTCAGCAAAATGAAAATTCAAGTCTTACGCTGAACCGATCTAGAGACACAGGAAAAAGGAACCCTCGTGGGCAGAATAGTATGATTGATGGGAAAAATGAACATAAGATGGGGATCCGACCAGTTGGATCTCTAGGGCAGAAATAATTTTTCGTTTTCACAAAACTCCAGAAGAATCCAAGGTGGAAATAACTTCAATCCAACTAGATGGAGATGCAATACAATAGTACGAAACCTTCACAGGGTCCCCTCGTGAGAGCAATTTAAGAGAGGGCTTCTCGTCCGCGTTGGACCATCTGAATATGAGAATGTTGATGGACAGCTCGCTAAAATTCATCAGATTTCTATAGTGCTAGAACATTAGAACAGATTTGAACGATTGTCAAATCAAGCCAAAGACTAGTCCGAATGATAACTTATGGGAACATTTATGGAAGGATTTAATCCAAATATCCAATGTGAAGCCAAAGCTCGCCAACCCCGCACTATGACAACTGCAATCTTATTTGCACATTTGTATGAGGAAAAATTCAGCAGGGAGAATCATCGAAATAGAATTGACGACAAACAGATGATCAACAAGCCACCCGCCCCATCTATTCCTAATCGAAACACTAACACCCGAAGACTAACCCGAGAAGAACTCGAGGAAAGATCAGCGAAAGGTTTGTGTTGGCACTATTGTGAAAAATGGAGTAGGAAGCACCGATGTAAACAAAGGCAACTTTTGATGATTGAACCAATTGGAATGGAACCAGAAGGTGACAATGTGGACTCCGATCATGAAGATATGGATTCTGATGAAAATGTTAAACCTATCATGCATATAGTGCATATATTAGCCGGCTACTCTAACCCGTAAACTATGAAAGTTTGAGGAACTTTGAAACATCAACATGTTACAATTTTAATTAATATTGGTAGCACTAATAATTTTTTGACAATAAGATTGCTAACCGATTGGTCTACCACATTGAAGACTAACCGATTGGTCTACCACATTGAAGACTGACAAATTCAAAGTAAAGGTCGCTGATGGACGAATTTTAACTTATGATAGCAAGTGTTTGAAGATAAAATTGATTATATAAGACCAAGAGTTGCTTGTGGATTTCTTTTTGCTACTCTTGGAAGACTTCGAAATGGTGCTTAGAATTGAATGACTATCAACCCTGGGTGATGTTTCTTGAAATTTTTTTAAACTAATCATGATTTTTTTTATTAATGGAAAACAATTGATCCTAAAAGGAAGACGTGGAAGTAAGGTCACGACTACCTCTAGCCATCGAATGGATAAGGTTTTTCAGAAGACTGACTTATTGCTTACACTATCAATAAGTGGAGATCGTACTTACTTGATCAACGAGTTGTGATACGTCGTAAATATCCTGTGGCTGAAGTACTGAAAGAGAAGCTCTCAGAGTTTGATGTTGCTCAACCTTAAGGACAAAACTGATTTGAAGGAGGAGGAATTGTTAGGATCCTAGCTTTGAATAATATTTTATTGAGTTTGTCTAATTAGTCGGATAAGAGTTTATTTGAGATTTATTTATTTATTTATTAGGAGTCCAAGTTCTGATAGAATCTGGAGTGAAACTCTATAAATATGGATGTATTTGTTTCTTTTCATCTATCTATGAAATATTAGTCTAGCTTTTGACAAACCGCATGAGACCGATTCCTCCGAAGTAAACATCCCTTTTCTTTTTCTACTTCTATGATAAAACCCTATAACCTTATCAAATAAGAATGATCAATCAAATGACTTAGCTATGTGATGAGGTAACTCCCACTACGATGATAGCAAATATAAAACATTAATTGAATGATTGCGAAGAAACAAGCATTTCAAACCAACTAGCCCTTTCACCTAATACCACCTAATTGGAGAAGCCATGCTTGGTTATTACGAAAACAATTATGTTCATCATGAACATGAAACCCAAATGGCATCCTTGTCAATCTGTCTACACTAGTAATTCGGTTCTTCTGAAGTAAAGTGTTATGTGGAGTCGTGAATAAAATAATGAATTCGGATTGACATGCACATGTTACCTGGAAAGGCCGTGTCCTCTTTCATCAAAGTAGGCGAACAAACTGTAGAAATATGAGAGCAGCAGTATTCCTTCCTGCTGTACGTAGCAGAAACAGTTCCTGTATTCTGTAAATCACCAGACCATAACAACAACAATAACAAACGAAATCACGAGCACTTTGAGCTTACAAAGAAGATAATATTAGTTTCTTTTTATTACCTTTCTCTACTTCCTGGTAGAGAGACAATGGTTCGTTATAAACCATCTTTATATGTACACAGTTTTTTTTTTTGTTGGGGGGTAAGAGGGGGGTGGGTACCTACTGCAAACATAGACATTAAACCAATTCTGAAGTCCCACCAAATGGAGTATGACCAAGTCTCCACATAAAAACATGCATTCACCCAAATACTTATAATGACAATCTCCAAATGGTCTGCAAATGCCACCATCGTGTCCGATTTTTCATGTGATGTGTTAACCTATAGTTCAAGTACTTGCAAGCATGTCATCCAACTAGCAGTATTTAAATCAACTCTATAAACAAAACCTCTTGCTTGCTAGTCAGGCCCAGTTCACTCAGAGATAGTTCACTTTCTCCTTCAGTAAAGGCACGGCGAGGATATGGCCTCACCTGTCAGATTTAAAGTAGTGTAGTGAGAGGCAATAATGCTGATACTGAACTCAAGGCGAATAAAGAAAGATCCATGTATACATGAAATCACATGATGCATACATAATAACCAAATAAAAATAGCTTCTGATAGATAACAAAACATATCCATTTTTCAGTATTATGGATTCATTGCAATGGAATAAAATTTTCAAGGCTACATAGAGCTGACATTGTTGTCATTAAAAATCGGATCAATATGTTACTGTAAGTGCAATAGTTGAATATTGAAAATCAAGCCTCATATATCAGAGCTGTAAAGGCCAAAGTAGTACTGCAACTGTAAGACGAGAAAATCCTCAATATGTTAATGTCTCACTCGTACTTTGAGAATCCTCACCATCCAATCTCATCTTTCAAATTCCTCACTTCAAAATCCACCACCTTTTCAATCAAAGAACATTCAAAGTTTCTTTCTAAATTTAGTTATTGTTCAAGATGTTTCTAATATTTCACAATCTATAGTTCCAATGAGTAAAGGACAGTATGCTATTCCGTCAACTCATCTGGACAATTATTATGAATATGCCTTGGAGTTTGTATGCAGACAAATAGATGCAAAATTAGATAAAATGTAAAGTTCTAACTTCTAACTACAGTTCAACAACCAACAACCATCCTTCTCTATGATGCTTTTGTCATGCAGCATTAAAGCATCAACTTCTATTTAATAGAGATCAAAGTCAAAAATCAACATTCAGATGGTAGAGAACTAATTGTATTCTTCGCAGCCAAATGGTCAGGAGATAAACATCAACTACTCAAACACTATCTTATCCAGAATGCACCATGAAAAACAAACACGTATACAAAAAAGATGCCCCAAAATTATTCCATTAGGCCTGAGAAGAACATGAGTACAGCCGACTGTCAAAAAGTAAATCACCTCCAGAACTATGAACCTGGAGGTATGAACCCAGGTATGCATCTTGGTTAACTCACCTGTCCAAGGAAAGTGCTGGCTCTAGCACAAGTTACAACACACATGAAACAGAATTAATGACCAAGATCCTTAGAGGCTTCATTTGAATGAAGCAAAAAAACCAGTCGATTCTTCAGTGTGCTCTTTGTATCTGCCTTATGATTAACTTACATCATCAAAGACGTATGAAGTACCAGCATAGACCTAACTTTAACAGACATACAAGAATATTCTCCAAAATCATATCTTATGTCCTCTTCCTTAAGTTTCTACTTCTGTTTTTCATTAGTCAGTCTTTCAAACAAAAACCAAAAAATATCATGACACACTTAAGTGTTGATAATTAAACACTAAACTATCCTAAGTGTCAACTTAGAGAAACACTTCAGTCCCATTTCATTCTTGACCTAGATATAACAATAGAATTCCTATAATAACTAGACCGAACCATAAAAAGCAAGGGATCATTTTGGTGACAAGAAATTTGGCAGTTTTGATCAAGGTTCTCAATTTCAGTTCGTACCGATGTATTGAGCCCTGCTTGGTACAATACGTACCGAGGCATACCAACGATATGCCAAGGCATACCGACAGTACGCTCAAAAATTCTGAAAAACCTCCAAAAATACCTGGAGGTAACGGTACAAACATACCAAGGCGTACCAATCGGTATGCCTTGGTAACGATCGAAATCTGAAACCAAACTGATCGATACACCTCGGTACTAGTCGATACGCCTCGATAATGGTCGAATTTCAGTATAGACCCCGTATTGCCCAGTACGAGGTCAAAACACTGGTACCGCCTAATAGAGGGTAGTCCGTGTACCGATATCCTCTCGAACCGATATGTGCCGCCCGTACCGGGTGGTAGACATTGAAATTGAGACCCCTGGTTTTGATCAACGAATACAATCTTGGATACCATAGCCGTACTGGTTCAGCTTGTGGTTTTGACCAAGGAATGCAATTTTGGGAATCACAAACATGGTTGTCCATGGTCCCCATATGGGTTGGTCCATGTCGGTGTACCGACATAGTATGTCTACATACATCGTGACACCATTTTGCTAGAAGAAGACGAGGTGACAATGGGTTTGGAGTCACTCATAAGCCTCTAAAAGGCCCCGTTATTGGCTTTCAAATACAAAACAAAAGAATCATCTGTCGCTTAAAGGAAAAACTGACTAGACAAGTCTTGTAAGTGATGAGACAAAGAGAGAGAGAGAAGCAAGGAAGGAAAAAACAGGGAAAATAAAAATAAATAAATAATTGCCAGCTGAAAAAAAATAGAAATATGATAATAGTACCAGGCGGTATGCAGAGAAAAAAAGCGAGGGGAGTAACAAAAGAAAAAGGAGGGGGAAAGAGAGGAGAGACCATTGAAAAAAGGAAACAAATGAAAAAAGATAGCTGTCAACTACCAAGCAGTATTATTCATTAAATCCAGACCTACAACACATTGGTTTTGACTCTGTTGACATAGGTTTTCATCACATGAAATCGTTTGATTATACATCCACATTATTTTCTTGTTCCGTGTAATAAACCACTTGCTTCCAGTTACATGGGCCAAGCAGATATAGATTCACATAGTCCTAAAATGTTCTTTAATTAGAAAACTTCACATTTATACATGCCTTTCAGCATTAATGCCCATGACAGCAGTTATAAAATTTTCATTTTAATTGAATATTCCACCCACTTTATACTAATACATACATTGTGCTAAACATGCAGAATTTCATCTGTTAAGAAACTTCTAGCATTTAAGTCCAATTCATTTTGAGAAAGTAGAAGGATCCTATATCCATATACATATGACAGCACATCAGTCACATGTAAATAAGAGTTGCATAATACCATGGCACCTAAGATTCTACATTGCACTTATGCGAGTTCCAAATAGATTGATTTACCCAAAACAAGACCAAACATGCCAATCAAAGATTGAGAACATATAGAACCTGAAAGGCACTGCATTTATAAATAGACCAACAAATCAAAAGATCAAAAGGAAGTATTACCAATCTGTAGGAGGCAGGCTTAACCACCTTTCCAATGTCAATGTAATAAAAAAGAAACTGCAATAAATGGCAGCAGTGTGACTAACAAAGTAACAAAAAAAACATATAAATAAACAAATGTTGCTAGAAAATTGCCAAATGCATGATCAATCCAAATGGTCAACCTGAAGCTTGTCAGATTTCAAAAAGCGACGTCCACGCCGACTACCATTAGGCATTCGCACAAGAAGGGTCACAGCATTTTCATCATCTGAAGAAGGCTCTTGTGGCAAGGATGCTTGTTTTGCAGCAAGCATCCTCTCAAGTTCCTGCAAGAACCATGTCAAGCCAACCAGTAAACAAAAAAGTATTGTCCCAAGAAGGGTATGTTCTATGTTAGTTATAACTTATAACTATACATTCAGGATTCAGCACACCTAAAGGACAGACTACTAGACTACTCATAGGTTAATACAGCAAGAGGATAAATGCCAAATTGTCAATCAACTTTCAATCTGAAAAAAAAAAATAGACACCAGATTCCAGAAAACAAAAGACACCCAGATAAATATTGAAATTTTGCAACTCATTGGCTATGAATCACAGTATCTGTTTCCAGATACATAAACATATGCACCACTCTCAACTAATCTTACAAGTTATTATTAATAATGGCTTTCTAGTGTTCCTGATTATATAACTCCTCCCTCATACATATGGCTTGGAAAAGTTGTGTACAAAGCAAGGATTGCAATACCGTACTGTACTTACTGCTCGGTACGGGTGGTACATATCGGTCCACCAATAGACTGGCACGCGGTCTGCCCGCTACCGGGCGGTATCAAGCATTTGGACCCGTATCGGGTGATACAGGGTTGTACTGAGCGGTAACTGTCGAAATTAACCATTACCAAATGGTAACAGTGTTCCAACGATCAATTTGAACGTTGGAGGCCTCCTCAAGGGTTTTTAAATCCTTTTCTTCTCCCTATTTCAATCTATTTCACTTTCAAACTCTCTCAAACTCATTTTTCTCATATTCTCTCTCTTATTCTCACATTTTCACTCTCCTAAACTCAAATTTAGGAGATTAATTTAGGAGGATTAAAAAGAAAAACTTTTTAACAAGAGGTATGTATTCTCTTTCTAGATTTTTATTGATTCATAATATGATTAAGCCTATTATGATAATCGGTCATACTTCTCCGAGCAATAGTATGATAGGAGCAGCAGATCAGTTGCGAAAGTCAAAATTCTGACATTCACCAATATATACCTCAGGAGCCACCTCAGACACATGTGATTTATGACGATCAACCTATAACTGTCACCACATTTATGCACCAATGACATACGGTATATCAATACACTATATCATGCGATCAATTTCAGGATTGGGTCCGATAAACATATCATATTAATATACAGATACATAGGATCGAAGACCCCGATCCACCACTTGTGAATGCCTGTCGTTCGTTTTGGTGATAGAATCAGGTATATCTACACATACTATTACTTAATTCATTTAAATCTTAAAGTTTAAGTTGTATACAAAATAATCTAATAATTCAAATAAGTTTTTTGTAGATAATTCAACATTAACATAAGGACGATTCGAAACAGATCAAAAATGCGAACCTTGCATAAGGCTACTCCTCAAAGCCCGAAAAAGATATATGATACTATTATTACCTAATTTACATTAGTTTTGTTAAAACTATACTAAATGTATATTTATGTCGAACTTAAAAATCCTATTCTAACTTTTTTTTCTATTTTTCAAGTATTTTCGGAGGGTTTTATGCCTATTTTAGGTGTACCGCTCAATACGTCGTACCGTACCATACCGAGCAAATCTCGATACACCGGTACAGTATGAGATTAAGAACATTGATACAAAGATGTTATAAATAGGATCATGTAACTACCACTCTATAGTTTAATTGAATAGCCTAAAATAATACAACAAAAGGGGAGCAAATTAAGCATATATAAATAATTTAATCAATATATAAATAAATGGAAATCACATTGTGAAGCACATGGAATATTGACATTTATTATTAATCCAATAAAAATGCAAGACCCTTTATACATATATGGGTAAATTAAAAAAACCTAGGACTATGAGGGTGCATACAGTACCTACAGAACAAATACAAAATATAGAACAAACAATTCAGTTTGTCCTTGCTATAACTATATCCAGATTTAGAGGCCATATGATATTCAAATTTTTTGAGCCTACAGATCTATCATAACAATGAGGCACTAAATAATTCAGACAGGAGAGTCATCTCCCTCAATGGAAGTTCCCTGAATAAAAATTCTAGATCCTTTCCCGTTACCATTATCAGCAATGAATTACCTCTTCCTCAAGCTGTTTCCTATGGTTTTCCTCCTCTTCGTGTTTCTGCTTTTGAAGAGCAGCTTCCCTAGCAGCAGCCTCTTCTAAACGACGATGTTCAGCCTCCTGCTGGGCCTTCAATTCTTTTTCTCTATCGGCTTGCAGTGCCGCAAGATACTCATCGTCCTGCAATTCATGAACATTTAACATAATTTGACTGGATGGCAATCAGCTAATAATAACAAGACATATAAAACCTGTTGCTCTCTCAACAAGCGCTGTGCGGTAAGTGTAGGGGATGGCGGACGAGGTATTTGACGGTGTGGGTATCCAAAACGATAAGCTGTTTGATCAGGAACATTGCCAAACATTGCAGCCTCAAGCATGAGAGCTTCGTCATGCTCTTCAGAAGACATACCACCCCACTAATCCACAAAAAAATGTTTCAAATTACTACTTCCTCAATTCAATTCATTCATGAATAGAATAATAAGTATCTTCCATAACTTGTATACCTCATCTCTCTCAAACGCATCTCCATTATGCTGAGGATGTCTATCAATAATATCATGCTGTGAGGGACTAGAAGCACTATAGCTCACTAGTCCAGCATCTGCTGATTCTGTGTCTACAGGAGCTACATGGTTGGAATGGTGTCTCACTAGAGGGTGCTCCTCTACATCTTCAGTTTCTTCTGAGACAAATGGATTTTTTTCATCTGAATTCACTTGACTTGAAGTTCCAGTTTCAGCTAAAGCAAATCCAGGCCTCCAGTAAGAAAAAGGCACATTTTAGTAACAAGAGCAATCATATAAGCATTTCACAAGTAATTATTTTAAGAATGAAGATATGTAATGAAATAGAACCAGAATAGCCTTGTAGTGACCAAAATATTCCAGAACAGATTGCATATGTGCAACACCATGAAACATCCAGGAAATGTGGATTTCTATACATATAGGTATCGAATAGTGTCCTAATGGACCATTTTGACAAGTACTGTTGCACATCAATGTGGAATGCTACATGCAATTATTGATACAACTTACAATCTTTACAGAAACAAATGGAATGAGGAAGACAAACTTAATGTCACCAAAATAAAATAAAAAAACAGCAATACTGCATGGGTTTGGTGGAATCATCAAGGTCAGATATGAAATAATACTACATTGAATAGGAAGCCATAGCTCGGACCATCAAACATACCTGTAGACTGTGCCTTGCAGCAACCATACAAGTCATGTGCCAAAAAAAATACATGCGCACACTCATACCCAGTACCAAATCTAGCATCAAGGTGAGGACAGCCAAATTTGAGCATGCACAAGGTATCAATAATATGTTTGTCACTCAATCCGGTCACAAGTTGGTTCAAAATGAATCCTTGATATACAACTAAATAAAAAAAGGGGGGAAACAGTGAATAAGAAACTAATTCCAAAAGCTCTCCATAATTTTTTAATAAAAACCTCTGAACAAACTCATGTACCTGCTATTGATAAAATGTCCACTGAACCATATAAAGACAACAATTAAATGCTGAGTATTTGAAAAAAATACTATTAATAGTTGCATTTGCTCAGAAAAATGCAGCATCATAAATTTCAGGAATATTTGATGGAATATCAAGTTTTTCTTTTCCTAGATAACAATCAGTTAGCATATCTATCAAAGGTAATTCTTAGCCACTAAAAAAAGAAAGGGTGGGGCGACGGTTTTCTTAGATCATAGATTGTGCAAGTTAGTGGACTTCAACGTAAAACCTTATTAGTTTAAAACAAATATTTATAGAAAGTCTAAATAATAAAACAAGTAGCCCACCAATCCAAGTGGTCCACTAGCCCAAGAACTTATGAAGCTAACTTAGTCACATATTTAAGGGTTAAGGTCCATTTTAGCCCCTGTGGTTTTAGCCATGGACCTCTTAAGCTCTTATGATTTACTAGTATCTAAAATAACCCCTATATTTTCAAAAACGTAGTATATAAGCACCTTCCGTCAAGTCTGAGTTAACAGACGTTAGAGTCTACTTATGTGACATGCTAGCTCATAATAAATCATTAATATAATAACACGTGTAATTTAAGTTCTAAAAAAAATAAAACTAAGACCTTCATCAATAATGACAGGAGGCATCGTCGTAGAAGCGACCACCAGCAGCAACACTGAGTCGCTGCTACCTAGCAAAACATCGTACGCACACAGCCTCTCTCGCGCTGACGACGAGCTCAGGAGCTTCCAGCCCTGTCTCAGGTGGATGTGCATCGACTAGTCCGATGCTGAGCATGCAGTAGTCTCCTGGTCCCTCTTCTTCCTTCTAGGCATTTTCATCTCCATTGTCTCCCTCTTCGTCCTCTCCTACGCCACTACCAGTCGTGCCTACGACATGGTGGTCTAGCTCTCCCTCACCTCCGCCTCCGGCTTCTCTTACCCCTGCCTGTCCAGCTTCGTCCGCCGCTTCCTCTTCCTCGACAAGCTGGTCGAGGAGAGCGAACGGATGCGAGAGGGCTACATAGACCAGCTAAACCGCACCTTCCTCCTGCTCTCCGTCTTCTTGATGTTGTGCTTCGCGGGGGAGGTGGCTTACAAGGTATGGTGGTACTCGTTGGGATCGGAGCAGGTATCATTCGCGATGGCAAGCAGTGATGTGGTGGCAAGCGCCCTGGAGTTAGCGAGCTGGATCTACCCATACCTTCTAAGCCACCTCCGCTGCGAAGAGGCAGAGGTAAAAGAGGGCAGAGGCAGAGGTGAGAGAGAGCTAGACCACCACATCGTTAGGCATGGCGGGTGAGAGCATAGGAGAGGGCGAAGTGGCAGACGGTGGAGACAAAGACGCCCAAGAGGAGGAAGAGGGACCAAGAGACCACTACGTGCCTAGCGTCGGACTGGTCGACACACATCCACCTGAGGCAGGACCAGAAGCTCCTGAGCTTGTCGTCAGTGCGAGAGAGGCTACATGCATATGACGCCTTGCTAGGCAGTAGCAAATCGGTTCTACTACTAGTTATCGCTTCCACAACGATGCCTTCTCCGGTCATTGATGGAGGTCTCAGTTTTTTTTTAACTTAAATTACACGTGTCATTATATTAGTGGTTTATTATTAGTCAACATGCCACGTAAGCAAACTCTAACGTTTGTTAACTCAAACTTGACGGGAGAGGCTTATATACTACGTTTTTAAAAATGTATGGATTATTTTAGACACAAGTAAACCATAAGGTCTTAAGAGGTCCATGGCCAAAACCATAAAAGCTAAAATGGACCTTAACCCCATATTTAAATATTTAATCACGTTTGTCTCTATGAATAAGTTAGTATATACCAAGCCACATGTTAAAATCCACCAATTTCTCAGGTCCTTACAAGAAACCATTGGAGTATCACAATCTCCCTGGCCTAAAAGAATGATAAATTAGTCAAGGGACAAGATACAATCTAGATACATCTCTATGATTCCTAATTTAAACTATTCTGACGCACACAATTTATCATGATCCAAATAACTTACTAGCAATGTCATCTATGTCTAGCAAGCCTCACCAAAAAGAGCCCAAATGCTTCCACTCAAGCTATCATATAAAAGGCCAGCCCTTCATTTCCTAATGTGCAACTACACTAAAGGAATACCAAGGCTACACCTACACAAATCGATGATCCCATTTCATATATACCACTTAAATGGGACATTAGTTCTACCACACTGACAATACCATCAGAATAAGTAGAAAAAACTATTTATGACATCTTTTATCAATCGTAAGGCCTTTGTCCATCAATCACTGAATTTCATTAGCAACCAATCTTTGAACTCAATCTAAGAGACCAAGTTGACACATTTTCTTTTCATTTACAGACTGATCAATAAGTGGATATGCAATCCCATGCCATGACCGCATGAGAACTCAACCCTAAACATAAAGATGCTGAAAATGTGGGCATCACATAGAGAGAGAAGCTGAAGCCCAAACACGGGCAACCATCCCTCAAGCTCTATCAGTCTTTCTCACCCGTCCTCATGGCGCCATCATGCTTTATTTGGCACAACATAGTAATCCACAACTATTAGAGAATATACCTTGTTGGCATAAGGACAATTTAAAATATACCATGAACACCATTTGATAAGAGACATTATATATAGTAAAATTTTTGTAATTGATTTCCTATGGCATAGTATGAAAATTCACATTAATCCAACAACAAAATTATTTAAAGAACAATGTAACACTTAGTGAATATTTCTGCCACATGATGCATGTCAATCATAAACTTGGAAGTATGATGCATAAAATCAATCCCATCAACAAACAAAAAAATTAATGTACCATGTAATATATATATATATATATATATATATATAATTGAATCGTTAGCAAGGAATATGAAGTAAATGGATCTGGCCCAACCTTTGAATTTGATTTTTATTCAATTTTCAGGAATAAGAATCAATAATATGAAGCACATTGTTTGGCAAAGACAAGAAACTACTGTCATATAGATAAGCGGATATCTAAGAAAGAAGTGATGTTAATGGTGATCAACACTTGGTTAGAAAAATGATAGTTTTAATGCATAGAAGAAAAGCTGCCTCTTTCTGAACAAAAACTAACATTTGTATCATATCATGATCATTAGGTACTGAAGTTCTCAGAAAGCATTTTCTGTTAACAACAATTCTTTTGTCTCAAATATTACTTAATCACATTAAAGCGTCAAGCATATATTATATCCTTTAAACAACAAGATTGCTAGTTGCCAATATATCAGCACAACTTGCTTCTTTGAAAAGAGCAGATATTCATACAAAGGGTAAGTTGCCAGATGTAAACTAGACAAAACAGCATCGTCAATTTATTTACATCCAGACATCTAATCCTCAATCAGGTATTTAAAGAAACAGAATGTTTTTCATAGGTAGTGAATAAGGGCAAATAATACAATATCATAGCAAATCCAACAGTTACAACATGGTAAAGTAGCTCCAGATCCTGTTTCTTGCTTTATAGACCTCTGTAAGATGTCAATATAAAAGATCAGACATCACCTTACCATTAGCTGTTATTGTTTGGTACTCAAAAGCATAATACACAATCTCAACTACAATATAACTGTTTACTAATTATATAGCAAATGTGCAGAAGCTAATTGAATAGACCAAGATATAATGGGCCCTAACCATATGGCTTGAAAAGCTTCAGCCTAACATTACTAATAATAAGCCCAAATCTTATATACTTGTTGACCCATCAACAGCACTAAATGTGTGAATATTAAGCATCAGAAGAAGGTCCAGAAAAATGATCATTCATGCATCATTACATCTATTGATTTCCCAAAACTAGTAGGATAAAAGTATAAAGTTGATATTTGCTTATTTGCAACCTGAGTGATCAGGATTTGCAGACTGACCCTCCGTAGACACCGCATTGGCAAAACCTCCTGAATTAGACCATCTAACAGAAATGCCCAACAAGCAGGTGTTGCACTCAAGGTATTAGAAAACATGATTTTGTTCACACATAGCAGTTTGTAAAAAGTTGGGAACCAAATCGGATCAATTGGTTTGACAAATATGGATCAAAGAACTAGATTGAGGGGAAAAATATATAAACCACTAAAACCCATAAAGATAAAGTTAAAAGTCATAAAAATTATATGAACCCTTTTACCTTTTATCAAGGAGGTTTTTCCAAAAAAAGTATAAAAATTGTTGAACGATAACTAATTCTATTTATTCTTTTATTGGTCTAATGAGAACTCATTTTCCTGTTTAACAGTTCTACAATACACTTAACTAGCTCATTATAAAACTTTGAAAACTGATGCAAGTTGTGTTACTCAATTAATTGCCCCTTGATCTATTTAGTTTTCTCCATCTGTGAGGCATCCAAGATGTTTGCGTGACAAGATGTCAATTATGATGGAAGAGACAAAAGAAGAGATCAGCAAAGAGCTTTGATAAAGGGAAAATGGAGAGGGTGCTCCAAGACATCACAGTAGATGCAAGGGTTAACTCGCTCTCTCTCTCTCTCTCTCTCTCTCTCTCTCTCTCTAAAGTCCACTGTCCTTCTCAGTTCTTGGATTTCTTTTTTACCAGATCAGAAGAATGTTGATCTTTTTGAAATGTCCAGTCCACATCTTCTGATCTTGTAATGTAACAACAACTCAGCATGGGTATGGCAAAATATAAGATCACACAAACAAGAAACTTCAACGAAATGAAGCAGTGGTGTTCATTCAATACAAACTTTCTTCCTGAAAATAATAGGATTGAGCAAAGGATCTAAAAAAAACAGTGAAACCAACTCCTGATATCAAAGTAGAATAAAAGATCCACACCTTCCATTGAGTGAAGAAACTTGTCCTGCACTTTCCACTTCCACGAAAGATGGACTCTCTCCAATATATACACCCTGTTTATGTAGTGCTCTTTCTTGTTCTGCGGTCTACATTGGAAGAACATCAAAACAGTGCAAAAATAACCACTTAAAATTATAGTAGGCATACATAACAGATACCTTCAAGGACAATGAAACTGCTAGTGCAAGATCGGTAGCACCTGGTGCATGCGACTTCTGGTGACCATGCATGTCCTACAATGACATAAGGGTGAATATAGTTATTAAGAAGGATTGGTTTTAAACTTAAAGCTGAAAGGATCATCAAACTGTTTATTTACAGATTGCACAGTTTCTCGCTTAGAAGCTTCAATAGCAGCTCTGACCATTTCCTCCTCTATATCATTGTTATAATCAGACATATCGACCAATGGAGAAACGGTTGGTCCAGGATGTGGACCAAAAGAGTTATCACTGGATGCCTTCGCACCATGATCAGCATGAGCAGATTGGATGTCCTCATCATCTTCGTCATCAATTATGACAGTGTCATGAATCTCTGGACAATGTGCAGTTTCATTTCCAGAGACATTCTCAATTCTAGGTCCTATGCCAGAAGCTCCAGGTTCTCCATCGTCATCCTTGACTTCGATGGGCACTTCCCTTACCTCCCTTGGGTGTGAAACACGTGGTCCGTGTGAAGGAAAACCAGAAGCAGCTCCACCATCAGAAAGATCCCCAAAAGGGCCAAATTTAGAATCAAGTAAAGAAAACGGGTTCACATCTTGAGCAGCAGATGATAATGGAATCAAGGGCCTTAGAGGTTCGTTGTCAAGAGTGTCATCTATGTTCATAAAATCTTCATGAGGGGCAGATCTCTGATTTGCACTGGATATTAAGTCAGTGATTAGAAGGAATAACAGAATGAAAAACTTAAGCAAGTTTGACATCTTGGAAAATGTAGATCACATACTTAACCCTATCTACTTCACTAAAGTGAGCGTTAATAGCTTCATTCAGATCCCCACCATGTTCCTGAAATATCATTAATGAAAAGAAAATGATTATGCGAGGAAATTTCCAGTAGAAAATTGCAAAATTGTAAATTTATCAAAATAGTTTGTTCAAAGAAAAACAAAGCACCACAGGCAAACACATATAGTGGGGCAATTATGATCATAACAAAAACAACGATAGTATTGAAGAGGCAATAAACTTGGACACGCATTAAGAATGTCATGCACTTACTTTATCACTTATCAGGACCATATGTCACATACCTTGTGCTATCAACAAAAGATACCAAAGATCAACTTACAGGTTTAAAATGACACTCTAAGACCTAACATGTTTTAGAAGTGAACATATCATGGTTTTCAGACCTTTATATATTGCAATAGGGCAAGATGATGACCTTGCACAAGGTCCCATCACACTCATCGGGAACAAAATAATGTGCTATATAAGAATTTTGTTATAATAAATGATCCATTAAATCCAATGGAAAAATAATAAGTACTTCTGAAGCAGCAAAAGGCTAACATGCGTATGACTGCATATCCTCCGATGAGAAGTAACTATGACCTGATATGGTAATTTTTATAAATGACTAACTGAACTTCTGCATGAAGTGCCAAATAAATAAGCAGAATTAACTTTGATAATCATTAGACTAAAGTATTGAAAACACTGGTTCTAATTGCATATCATCAAGAGTGCTATGCAACTTCATATGTCCCCATATCGATAAGACTGGAGATACAGGATTAGAAACATATTTGAGACCTACTAAAGAAATGAACTCATTAAAGAAGCCATCTCATCATATATCCATAACACATTCCCATTACGGTCACTTACTCTAGAAACACATCTCGTCACCACAAATGATGGTCCATGATTGAATTTAAAGAAAACAACAACATAACCTAAACCATCAGATCACTCGAATAACAGCAACTGAACCACAATCTCGGATCACAATTCACCTAAAAGCAAAAGAAAGAGGTAAAATAGAAACTAATTCTGAATCTCATCCAGATAGGGGATCGTACCTCGAGCTTCTGCAGAGCGACGGCCTCGGGGGCGCCGGTGATGCTCACGAAGGTCTCGATCGCGTCCCGCGAAGGCCTCGCCATTTCTCACTCTTCGCCTGGGGCTTTCTCTACCGCTACGATGCAATCGAGAGAGGAAGGACCAGGTGGAAGCGATCTGAAACCGAGGAGGGGAAGTGATTGAAGCGGCGAGCGGAAAGTAGAGAGACGTGGGAGGGCCTCTCCAAGGACTGGCCAGAGATGAAACGGTGGTAGAGAGCGAGGGCGATACGAAGGTTTCTTGATTAGAGGGAGATGGAGAGATGCCGTGCTAAAGTGTGTTTCCGATGTGGCCCCGAGAAAAGGGGGCGTGAGAACCGGAGACCGGATCCGTCCGATGGGCATCAAGATTCGTGTAACAAGGGGTCCTCACCGGACGTCGTGGGAAAGAGCGTTGTTGGTGGGGCCACGAGAAAAGGGCCGTGGACCCGTCCGATGGGCATCGATATTCGTGCAACAGGTGGCGGTCGTCGCGGGTCGTGCCAAACAGCGTAACTGGTGCGACCACGATGTAAGGGCCTTGAACCCCGTCCGATGGGCATCAATAGTCGTGCAACGGGGGGTGGTCGGTGGATGCCGTGGGAAGGCCTTGAGGACCAGCGACGGGGCCCGTGTGATGGGCGTCAATATTCGTGCAACAGGGGTGGTCGGCGGATACCGTGGAAAGGGTGTGGGGCGCCCAGATAAAAGCGCCGTGAGGGCCAACGGACGGACCCGTCCGATGGCCATCAATATTCGTGCAACACGTGATGGCCAGCGGTGCTTGGTGTGGTGGGCACGTAAACGGGAGCAAGGCAAGTCGGTGATGTACGAAACAGCACCGCCACCGGATAAACGCGTGCCGCGTGCATCCAGCAATCCGCCACAGGACTGTTCAAGAGAGAAATAGCCATGCAGAAAATTAAAATTAAAAATTTCGGATAAATCACTCCTAAATAATAAATTTTCCAAATCAAAAAATTATTTTTATCTTATAATTCACTTCTGGCTAATAAATTATGAACTTTACCATTCGTTCACTCTTCCACTAAAGTCTAAACATTCTTATGGTTATCGGAAAGTTTGATATATGTGTCAAGTTAAAGATGGATATGCATTTTTGAATTTTAGAAACTACTTACTATTTTTATAGTACAAAAAATCCAACTGTGGAAAGACTTATACGTAGAGAAAATAAATCTAAAAATAAGTATTTGATTATTCTATAAAGAATGGTTTTCTAATATAATATAATATGACTTTGACATGAAATTTCCTAAAAAAAGGTAATATTCAGAAAATATAGTAGTCAAGCTAATAAATTGCTACTTATATGACAGATGGAGTCGATTCTTATCAAAAAAGAGAGCCATTAACATTTATTTATTATATAATTGGCCAATCACAAAAAAAAAAAGATTCTTTGTGATATATAGAAGTCAACTTTTCTTTTCAGTAATAGAAAGGTTCAGAAAAATCTATCTTAAATAAAAGAAAGAAAATATTATAGTTCATGACATGCAACTTTTGGTAGTATTGGAAACGTAGGGTTTTATACGCCATTATTAATACCTTGCCTGCATACTTTGGGCCCACATGGGGCCTCTACTTCCTCCAATGACAAGGAAGGTGGAAACGTGGTCTTGACGATGTACTAAAGCATTGCCTCCTCCTTAAACCGTACCGTTACTTCATGGCTTTGACGACTTACAGTCTCTAAGATGTTTTGTCTTGTTTTAGCTTCGATGATTGGACAAGATGGGTGGAGCCCCAAGGGGATCAAAATATACCCAATCATGAGACAGGTAAACCGTTGAGTAATGAAAGGGAAGTAGTAGAATTTCTGTTTCGGAAATGAGAGGTGAAGTAGTCGGACTCAAAAGCTACTTGTATGTCCGAAGATAGAAGGTAGGGGAGATAGCGGGAGAAGAGGCGATGGCCGTTGCTGCTCCGCAGGTTACTGTCCCCTTCCTCTCGCCTCCTCCTCCCTCTTCCTCGTCCTCGTCCGTGGCATACGGTTCCACCTCCATCCTTCTCTCCCGCTCCAGGGCCTCCTCTGCCCTTCGCCTCCGGCGAACTGGTCCTGCCGCCACCCGATTCCGATGCGCCGCCGGGCAGACCGGATTCTTCACCCGGTTAGGTCGCCTTATCAAGGAAAAGGCCAAGAGCGACGTGGAGAAGGTCTTCTCCGGATTTTCCAAGACCCGGGAGAATCTCGCCGTCGTGGATGAGCTCCTCCTCTACTGGAACCTTGCCGACACCGATCGAGTCCTCGACGAGCTAGAAGAGGTGGAATTCTTGATGCTCGCTCTAACCGAAGAGTGGATATCTGTGGATTAGAGCTCAATTTCTTTCGAATTTTCTTGTAGGCGTTGCTGGTATCCGATTTTGGGCCCAGGATTTCTTTCAAGATCGTGGACTGCCTTCGAGAAGATATATTGGCGGGAAAGCTGAAGTCTGGGAGTGAGATAAAGGTGGTTGCTTTCTTGATATAATCTCTCTCTCTCTCTCTCTCTCTCTCTCTCTCTCTCTCTCTCTCTCTCTCTCTCTGGGCTTGGGTTTTGTTCCTACATCGTTTCCATGTATTAATGCTTAAGGGCGCTACATAGGAGGCTTTGAAAAGGAGTGTGCTTCAGCTGTTGACAAGCAAGGGCAATAAGTCGGATCTCCAACTAGGATTTAGGTTCTGCATCTACATATTATTGTTCATGAATTCGTGCCTAATTGTCCATTGTTCTTATTGGGTTGAATTCAAGTTGCCGAAGAATTTATCTTTCTTTGCTACCAGGAAACCTGCAGTGATTATGGTTGTTGGTGTTAATGGTGGTGGAAAGACAACCTCTCTAGGTAATCATCACAGAGATGCTTCTTCCATTTTTGTCAATTCTTGTGCTAGAATGACTACATAAACTGGAAACAATTATGGATAGCCTTTTTTTGTGGTTTGTGATAAGTTCACTAAATATTGCATTTTTTATTCTTTAAGTAGGATTTCGTCATCATAATTAGTGACTGTTAGGATGCTGCTAATGTAGATGCTAATTTTCTCTGGACATGAAGCTCTTGACTATCAGGATCTCCTTGTCATGGTTACCACTCTATGTGCTTGAAAATTGATGTATTTTGCACTCTAAATCAAATCTTAGACCAAAAGTTCTCAAATGAATTACCTAATGCTCACTGCATGTAGCTCCTATCCTACTGAAATATATTGTTTGATCATTCATTTGAAACCACAGAAAGAATATTTTGTAAGTCTCTCCCTTCCTGGACTTTTAAGACACTTACCACCTTCTGGTCCACTAATAACACAAATGCTTGTTGCAATTTTTTCTATTCATTTAAAGCATTAACTTTAGTGGCTTCAGAAAATTGTTTAAGTAGACATGAATTAGATTATGCATCCGGTACTATCTAAGAATGTGTTCAACTTTGTCATGGAGCTCTTGAGCTCCATGCATAGTAAGATCTTCATGGTATTTATCAGCAAAAGCTTGTTGCTGATGGATATCCAATGATGAATTAGTATATTTTACTCATACATGCATTCTTATAATTAAATTGGTTAGCTACTTAGTAAGATCTTCATGGTATTTATCAGCAAAAGCTTGTTGCTGATGGATATCCAATGATGAATTAGTATATTTTACTCATACATGCATTCTTATAATCCAATGAGAATGGATTAGCTACTTAGTTGTAGTAATAGCTGATTACCAAGTCATTACACGCAGCTCTATCCGATATAGGTACTCTGCCGATGATACCTTTGAACCATGGATAGAAAAGAAACGGGTATGTTGGGCTTCTCTGGTTGCACCAGAATTTTCATCTTCTTTACCCTTATGTTGCTCTTCCTACTATCTTGTGTTTCTTTGATTCTCTTTCAGATCAGTTCCTATGAGGGCTGGAAACTGTTTGTTTATTTCTTCAAATATTAGTCACTAAATTCAATTACCATCATCCAAGAACTATGTGGAATCATAATTGTTCTAGCCACATTCCCTGAAACTCATGCCAAATTAAATTATTCTCCCTTAATTTAATGAAGATTCTCAGAGAGTTTTCTTGATCTTTTCTTAAGTACCCTTAAAGTATATATTTCTCTCTGTTTCTATCTCACTCAGATAATGCACAAATGCAGACCTTTACAACAATCTAGTGATTCCTGCTGGAAGCTTATGTTTGCTTTTTTCTGTAATTTTATGTTTTTGGATTTTGCTTTTTTATTATAATAACTTTTGATGGAAATTTGGCATTTTTGCTTTCAATAGTTCTATTGTTTTGCGATCAAGATGGGAAAAAAGGTTCCACATCCTTCTCGTTACCAGTAAAATTCAACTATATTAATCTAAAAGACATGTTATGTGGTTAGAGGTATCTACAAGACAGTGCTTTCTATTTAATTCCAAAAAATTGCAAATATTGGTAATCACAAATCTTTGAGTGTGATTTGCAGAAATTGGTGTTAGGTTCATTTTCTTGATACATGCATGCAGATATTGATCGTGCTTACTTGGTGAATCTTATAACAAATAGTTCTCTTTTCAGTTTGTAATTCTGATAAACATGTTCTTTATATAATATAGATCCAGCTTCCACTTCTGCATCCACAAATGTATCAGCCAAATTATGAATTCAAGACCAATATTATATGTGTGTCTATCTTTTTATAGGTATCCTTTTTTCTGACTCATAGGAGTTCTCTATATTGGACCTTGTTAATTCTGGCAACCACTGCGAATTATAGCAAACTTGCCAAATTTCAGTGCTATTTTAACACTAGCATGCTAAGCTTTAATATGTTGCCTGTTAAATTTGTGATGAACTTTCTTTGCTCCTTTTCATTTCATTTGGTCATATAAACTTTTGAAGTTTATGTTCCATTTTCAGTTAATTTCACTATGATTTCACAGGAAAACTTGCTTGCAGATTGAAAAATGAAGGGGTAAAGGTGAGGCTATATTCTAGTAATATGATTTATTTGATTCTTTGGACAATGATAATTAGTTTTCAAGTTCTTTCTGAATGAAAGTTAAGATGCTTCATGTCACCATACTTTTCCCTCGTGGAAATGCACTCATTATTATGGCAACAACAAAGAAATATATTTATCAATACCTACATTGTCCTATGAATCAATTCTCACTGTCTGTTTCTTGTTGTTCCTAATCGATCATAGCATATGTGGAGTTGGTTAACTCTCTTTATTAGTACATTTAATGCTTTTCTCAGTGTGTCTCAACCATCTTAACAGCTTCTACATATCTTTTCACCATTAGGTGCTGCT